GGATCGATGGTTCATATTCTCCATCATCATCATCATCATCATCATCATCATGATCATGTTCCTCCCCAACTGCTGCCGGAGTAGTCTTCCGTCTCGGCTTGCGTTTCTTGGTCTTCCTCGGAGGATTCATCAGCCCGTCGATAGACGTACTGACTTCACCGTCCGATTCTGACATCTCATCACCGCTCTCGCCATCAAGGTATATAGTCCTTGACGTTGTGTTGCCCAGGAGACCTAACACTCTCATCACCAACTCAGCCTCCCGGTCTTGCGATGGGCGATAGTCCTTCGCGCCGAGGTAGACATATGGGATCAGATTGCGAACTTCCATTTTGATCTTATCACCGTTGGAGTTGATCATGTAGGGCTCTCTTCCACTAGGCCACACAAAGGTATAGGCTTTCCCAGCGAGAGAACCGATGGTGTGTCCTCCAAGACGTGTGCCTTGGCTGGCTCATTGAACGTGTCAAAGTCCAGGTCCACCATAATAGTAGTTTATGTGACGCCATTGGCAGTGCGGAAGTTAATTCTCGAACTCTCGTAGGTGTCGAGGTCCATCCTGCTAATCCTAGTTAGTAGCGGATATTAGATCATGACCGCTCCCAGAATCCATGATGAAGCGTCTATCTCTCTGTGCTCGATTGGCATGGTGATGCACGTGATGTTGTCACGTCGGCCGAATTTGCCAGGGATATGTGGAGTCACCGGCCTTCGGATTATCCCATAGATACCCAAATGTGATAAAACTTCAACTTGATATCACTTCTGGGGCCCAAGACAATGTGATTGCAGAACCCATTGAGGATCACTCATGAGCTCCTGAGTGGTCTGACAAGTGATCGACTGCTTCTGAGCTCTAGTCATGCTCCTCTTTGGCTTCCGACTGGAACAAGGGACATTGTCTCGCTTCACGTACTGTCATCATCGAACTTGACGTTCATCTTGGTCTTCTTCTCGTTCGGCATGGCTTTCACAACGAAGTCATCGTCAAACTCTCGGATTAAAGCAGGTGTAGCCTTGGATGCCGATGAGTTGGTCGCGGGGGTTGCCCTCTTCCCCTTCAAGTTGGGATCGTGCTTGAAAGTACACTTGTCTCCACGTTTGCAATTCCCTTTCGCCCAACCATAGCAATGACCATCTTTCTTCCCTCCGGGAGTTGGGGATCTTCTTGGCGATGCTGATCTCCCGCTACCCTTCTTTCCGTTCTTGTTTTTCCTTTTGTCCCAATGGTACTGCGAGTGACTGTACTGGCACTTGTCGCCATGTTTGCAGTTCCCCTTGTTGAAGTGGGAATGACAAAAGGTCTTTGATGGATCTTTGGTAGAAGGTGATCTTGATCTCCTGCTGCTTTTGCCTTTCCCCTTCCCATGACTCTTGGGATCGCCGGATGGTAGTACAGGAGCTCCAGGTTTACCTTTGGGTGCAGGAGCGCTTGGCTTTCCGCCCTGAGCAGGAGTCGTAGGCTTGCCAAGGTTGGTGTAGTCTGTGGCGAACTTGTCTCTGGCTGCCATGTTCTTGTCCTCACGCACTTTTGCGATGTGTCTCTTCATGATTTCCAAGATCTCCTGGTAGGTCTTCTTCCTGTCGTCCTTATCTCTGCTCTTGAAGATCGTGAGGTCAACATGTAGTGCTTGAGATCCTTCGATCTTCCTCAGCAGGTGATCTCGCAGCGTGATTTCCGAAGGGATGTCCTCAGGCTTCATGTTGGCAATGTCTCAAGTCAAGCATTTAGGAAATTGTCCATCCATCTCCTTGTCCCCTCGGAACTGCAGCCTGTATATGTGACTAGCATTGAATAAAACTTCATCCTTAGATGTCGTCCTGAAATGATCAAGAATCATGGCAAAGATTTCTCTGCCCATCAGGAAATTCCCTTTCTTCCCCAGTTCCTGACTCCTCTATCTGATCTTGACTCTGACTTCATATGCAACTTCGCCAGCAGCATCAACCATGTTCTGCATGGCGATCGATAGCTTGGAGTCAACGGACTGGAACCTTAAATCACCTGAGCCTGACAGCAACGTGTAGTCTGGATCAGGTTGTTGAGCAGGGGCAAGCCATGCTCTCCACGTTGAGGTATCAGGATCACCAGAAGCCACACATACCGCTTGCACAACATTTGAGCGCCAAACATCAAGGTGTTGACACGGCTTGATGGTGATCTTCTCGTGCTCCTTCCTCGACATGCGGGTAATCCAGTCCTTAAGGTCTGGTGCCTGATCTTCAGCGCCTAGACTTGCATTCTGGCCCAATAATATTGAGGTACACCCCATCCTCTGTCCCTGAGGATTCGGGCTAAAATGTCTGGCGCCATCTGAATCTGGGGCTTGTCACCCTCGCCAAGGCTTGTAGGTACAGGCATGAAACGGACCCAGAGGCTGCAGGTTGCAAACGCTGAGCAAACTGAAATTAAGATAGCCTGGGGATCATTGCAAAGTTTATGTCACTTACTGCATGCTATAGAAGCAATATTTGATAAACAGGGAAAGGAGTCAGATTCGGTGACCTGTCATATTTTTTGACATGTTTGGTGCGCTGCTGGATGTGCAGGACTGCCTACATGGCCATGGATCGAAGCTCTGGTACCCTGGTGAACGTCTATCCACCCTATTGTGGTATTAAAGTTATTGGTTCACCTTTATATCCTCTAGAAACATGACATCATAACCTTTATCCTTTGAGGGGTTTACCAGCATTTGTATGCCTATCAAAGATGACGTTTCACAGCCAAGGGAAATACAAGGACCGCTGACAAAACTCACAACAGTGAGTATTGACTGGTCATGACCACCAGTGACCTGCGGAGGTCACAAGGGTGGCCGAAAAATCTAAATCTTTGAAAACATATGCTGGTTCGCAGGAGGTAGTCACCATCCCAAGTGATGAAAAATAGGAAAAGCGATATTTTTGAAACCATCAACCAAAACAAAATCAAACGATAGCAAACGTATAATGTATCAAAGTCGTGAGAAATCAATGTCCCAAGAAGATGGTGGCCTGAACACGTCCCAAACATATGAATGCAGATTGGGATCATCCAAAAAAGAGTGTTTCACAATGCATATATGCAAACGTAAATATAAATATAAATAAATAAATAAATATATATATATACACACAAAATATACGTATATACAGATATAAATATATGTATCTCTATATATATAATATATATATGTATATATATATATATTTGTTATGTGTACATAAAAATAAATATATATGTAAATGTGTATATGTGTAAATGTGTATATGTGTATATGTGTAAATGTGTAAATGTGTATATGTGTATGTGTGTATGTATGTATGTACGTATGTATGTATGTATGTGATGTTATGTGATGTTATGTGATGTTATGTGATGTAATGTGATGTAATGTGATGTAATGTGATGTAATGTGATGTAATGTGATGTAATGTGATGTAATGTGATGTAATGTGATGTAATGTGATGTAATGTGATGTAATGTGATGTAATTATGCATGTATGTATGTATGTATGTATGTATGCATGTGCCATATGCGATATGCGATATGCCATATGCCATATGCCGTATGCGCATGCGTATGTGTATGTGTATGTATGTATTTATTTACTTGTTTATTTGTTTGTTTAGCTATTTATTAATGTCTATATTTATTTATGTAGCCTGCAATTGTACCTCAAATTAACATATATTCGTATCCAGTTTCATGTCGTGAGCACTTTCCTTTCCTTTTCCCGATCTTCTGTCAAGTTGCTTCCACTCCAAGCAGCACCGGCAGAGGGCATCCTGAACATGCTGCAGCTAAGCGCTGGTCATCCAAGTTGTGGGGAAATACCGGGGCCAGCTGGATCTGCATCCGTATTATATAATTATACGTGCGATATATGTGGGATAATCGGATTGTAAAACATGTGAATACACGCACACACACAATATATATATATATATATGTAAAACTGACCATGCAAAGCCGACAACTAAGTTCTATGCACATCCAGGTATTCAGGGTATTGATCCAAAATTTGTTACTGCATGTGGTTCCAATTGTGCCGGTCCGGTGCTCTGTCTGATTCCCCCACGTATCTAGTAGCAAATTGGACAGCCACATATCACATTCAGTGCACTGAACGAAAGATGTGGCACCACAAAGGCCGGGGTTCAAAGTGGAAAATTGCCACAGATCCATGTTGGAGGATTCCGTGTGAAATTTCAAGCTGGTGATCCATAAGCTGTAACAGATCTATTGCAGAATGCGTGTGAATTTATATCCCGCTATCTATGCCAGTAAGCATGTTGGAATTGGTGACGACCTCCCGAGGTACCCTCAGCATTGGATGGTGAGTTAGCACTGAAAATGACCATACCCGGGTTTTTGCCACCCCCATAGACAAACATGCCCACCCAGAAAATACGTCATCACTTGCAATCCGATTTTCATTTTAAAGGCTCTTTGTTTGGTAATATGACAACTCCCCAAATTTTTCATACCACATTTACCAAAATTTACAAGCCATGGGCCATATTAAAAATCAAGCCCCCCCAAAAATAGGTGGTGACATTTATTGAGTTTGCTACATCAACCGGGTTGTAATCGATGAAATGCATCATTTTTCAGGGGTTCCATGCCAGTTGGTATTCACTTGCTGTAAACACTTCGAGGATCATTAACCATCTTCCATTACTAACCAGCCACTGAGCATCCAAAAATTTGAAAGCTAGCACAGAGGCCTGCGGAGCTGCAACATCCCGGGGTTGGTTTGTCATCTTTCTCTTTCGACAGTGCCATCAATTTTTTACGACGCGGCCCTCCAATCTGAGAATAGAGCTCAAAAGCACCCACGCGGCCGCAATTACAGAGTGAAATGGGGTCATCCTATAGCTCCATATCAATGTGTTTCATGACAAGACATGCCACGACATGGTTGTGGCCCTCAACAAAATGGAGGTGGTGGTGCACATATCATTTCTTTATTGAACGACTTCCCATAGTTGTATATCATCAGAAATACCACCCTGGGGCTAAAATCGTGTCGGTCAACTTTTTTTCGGTCAGCGGGGAGAATCTGTCAGCTTCTCACTGTTATGCCTGCCCGCGCAGCAAATGGGATGGGAACATGTAGAGAAAGAGTTGCAGGAGCCAAACCTAAACTTGGGAAAAAGTAGAGACTTAGCTATCTTAGATACGCATGAAATGCTTCAGGGATCCCCCAAAGTAGAACCTATTCCGAATAATTTTGCTCCAAAATGGTGGATTAACAAATGGGAAGGAACATCAAATCCAAGAAAACAGGGGCCGGATGCAAAATGCTAAGACTGGATTCCAGCAAAGACAAACTCCCCGTGTGTGGGCGGCACTTGAGGTGATGTCATCTTTCCTAGTTGGAAAATATGTAACAGATGCCGAACCACGCCAAGACATGTCAAGACTACCTTCAAAACAGGAAAGAAGACTCACATAGATTTACGCCATGAATCTGAAGCTTTCCATGTTTGCCCCCAACCAGGTTGCACTTAGACCCACTGATTTCAGTGCCCCCTCGTGGCATTTGAGCAATGATTCAAATCCTCGCTTATCCCTGAAGCTACTGGTTGGTTCAGGGCAGGATTCCCAAACTGGTTCAAAACCCACACCATGCACAGGGGCACACTATGAGCCAGGTCAAGATTACGACGATGGCAAGCGCCAAGATGCATAGGAACATCTTGCCTGGTTCGGCTGATGGGAGATCGGCTCTGTGAAGTCAAGGGCGGAGCTAGTGATGGGTTCACAAAACTGGTAAAGTTAGCCTTTGCTTTTCCAATGGTGGTTTACTTTTCTATTTTTTTTGAACATCACAGTATACATTTTCAGCTACAGATCCCAAGCAGTGCAAAGTCTGTGAGTTCTTTCCTTCGATCAAGACCTGTTGCCAAACACAGGATCATTAAACCATTACCGCAAAAGTTCTATGAAAAGCAGTCCTTCAGAAAAGGAACGTGTCCAGAAGGACTTCCTGCTACTGGGGACCACTGACATGATCCAAAAAGCTCGTTAACGATTAGGAACCAGCAGTGGCTGCCTCACTACATCCAGTTTTCAAGATTCGCAAGGGATTCTCGCAGATTGAAAATCTGTGATTGATCCTTTCCCGAAGTTCTGGCGCTCTCCCATCAAATCCTCCCCTTGCCAGGAACAGCCAAGGAAGTGGGCCTCGTTGGTCTTTCCACCAGAGGTCATCATTATATCGCTTCGCACTGCTTCGAAAAGACACCTTGGTGTTGAATGCTTAGCACTCTCTACTCTCGACCGCTAGCTGATGACCGATGATGTATGGTGCGGGCGTACTGAGACACAGCTGCTGGCCGGACCATGCAGCAAGTCAGAGGAGTGTAATCCAATCATTCCAATCATGCTCAGAAGTTTGTTTCAAAGTGACCGAAAAAACAACTCCGAACAGCACATGCTTTGCCATTTGAATAGTTCCTGCACCAAGTGCCCAACAGACTCAGCTTTCAAGGCGGATGTCTTGTCCAGCAACGAGTCAATGCGCTCTCCCCGCTCCATGACTTTTCCCAAGTTGTTGCGCATCATGTCAGTGACATCCTGGGCTCAGTGGAGATCTCCTTCGGCCCCAGAGCGGCCTTGTGGAACAAAATCATTCGTTGTTTCGAGAGGACTCCCACTGGCTGAGGGTTGTGCCTCAAAGCCTTCAGGAAATTGATGGCAAAACAGTCGAAACATGTCAATCTGCTGAAAAAATATGCTAGCCTTTTCCGCAATAGCAGGATTTTGACCCACTTGGGTATGGACAAATCGTGCTATTGCTCTGTTCCAAAATATTTGATGTTTTCAACGGAGGTTACTTGATCCCCCATATCCATCCCTGGAGCTGCCTCGAGGTCCCTCTCCACTTGTTGGACTCGACCCCCGCCGTCAGAGTTATATCTCATAATCAAGTCACGGAGCATCCTGTCGACAACGGGATGCCAAGAAACCAAACAGGGTGAGTGGATGTGGGAAAAGATGGGGCAGTAGAGAATCCGAGGAAACCAAGGGAGAGAAGTCTGAGGGGCTGATAAGAAGAGACCAATGAAAAGAAAACACTAGTGCTGAATGACCCACTCTGAAAAGTTCAGTCCCTGCAGATGCAGTAGACTCTACATGACCACAAAAAAACCCAAAGTGCCACTATGCAAAGTTCATCAGGTGAGGGTCACGGCAAAACTGATCTGGAATCTAGCATGTGGGCTGCAACACCACCAGGCCTAAAAAAATATTGTGATGCAGCACATCTTATCTATTTTTTTTGCCAACATATGGTTTTATTAGCAGAAAGGATTCTCCAAGTACTCTTTCCATCTTCCGCTGCTGGTCTCTTAGTTCCACACAAGTCTATCAAAATGCAAGATTTTTTTTTTGCAGTATGCCTCATGAATGTGTTTGACTAAAAACATGGAAGAAGGATGTTGCAAACTGAGTATGCAGCTAAACAATTACACACAACCCATCCAATGCCTTCCTCACTACCATGATACAGTTCAAAAGCGTTTGCATTTAGTTTTTCTGAACTCGCAAAATTGTCTGAATAAAATCTGATTTTTTCTCAAACCACGGTCATTGAATTAACCCCATCTCAAAATCAGATCAAGCACACTCAATCTGGCACCCCAATTCAATAAAACTAACATGCATTTCGCTACGTTTTTGTTTGGGGGTACTTCATATTAATATTATATACGAAAAATAATATCATATAGGGGGAAGGCTTACATACATATGCATAAAAATAAAAATATACATACATACATACACATATATAAATATATACATCTCAATATATATATATATACATACATACATATGTATAAATACACACATATATATATATACACACATATATATACACATATACATAAATACACACACACATACATATATATATATATATAAATACACACATATATATATATAATATTCTTACATGACTTTACATGAGTATCACGCACGCACACACACATACACACACACACATATATATATACACACACTAGACCTGCATTAAAGACACGTATTCTATACATGTATTGTGTACATATATCAGATGTCTTGTAGAACTTAACATGTTTTTCCATGGGAAAGAACCACAGGCCGCTTGCCTGGCCAATTCAACTTCACGGTTGCTTCGACGTGACAGGGACTCGGCAGTGAAGCGTCGGGATAAGTTGGCGTTTTATGGAACTTTAATGATGTCATATTTCCCTAAACAGTGTGTCCACACTGAAGGGTTCTTACAGTAGCGGTTAAAGGCCGGTGTTAGATCAGGGTGCTCCATCTGATCTCTGGCCTTTTTCCTATAAATTCTGGCAAAAATCGCTCTTGTGAGATGTCCATGTGCATTTCGACTGCGCATAAATAAACGGCTTCTTCGCAAATATCCATGTGCAAGTCGGCTGCGCAGGCAGTCGCACAAAACGGTTGTTATTGGTCTCGGTCCCTTCTTTGACGATCTTGCAAGAGTTTAATGGTTCTCTTGGAGCTCGGTGATATATGAAGATCTTAAGATCCTGCTGAAATCCTGCCGGAGGTCCTTGCATGATCTTGCACAGGTGCTTCTGAGAAGATCTTGTGAAGATCTGGCTGACATCCACTAAGAGGTCCTTGCGTGATCCTGCACAGGTCCTTATAGGAAGATCTTGTGGAGATCCTAGTGAAGTCCTTTCTAAGAGATCCTTTTTCTGAGAGGTCCTTGCATGATTCGGCACAGGTCTTTGTCAGAAGATCTTGTGGAGATCCTGGTCAGATCCTCTCTAAGAGGTCCTTGCCTGAAGATCTTGCAGATGCCATGTATTAGCTTCTGGTATGCTCTTGGGACGTTCTCGTATCAAGATTTTGTAAGATCCTCTCCAGCAGCAGCAGGTCCCTATCTGACGATCTTGTGGGATTCTCTTAGGGGTCCTGGCATGAAGATCTGGGTCACAGTCTTTTACAGTTCCTTGTGAGGAGCTCTTGTAGAGATCTTGGTGAACTCCTCTAAGAGGTCCTTGCATTATCTCGTACAGGTCCTTGTGAGACGATCTCGTGGAGATCCTCTTGAAATCATCCTCAAGAGGTCCTTGCATTGAGATCTTGCAGATGCTCTGCGTTGGTGCTTGTGTGAAAGTTCCGTCTGGGATGTTCACACGAAGTTCTTGTATGAAGCTTGTGAGATCCTCTATATAGACGATCCTTGGACGATCTTTCGAATTCTCTTAGATGTCCTGGTATGAGGTTCTGGTATTAGGTCCTGATGGGTAGACATAACGTTGCTTCTTGCACCAAAACAAATTCAGGCTGCAGTTCCGATAATGTCCAACCTGATCTGTTACTGTTCCATAGCTACAGTGGTTTGTACCTGGTACTTTGACTTCCTGCTCCCATACTGTTTGGGTCTCTTGCCGGTGTAATGGGATTTCATGGGATTTGCTCACAAATACTGGGGTATAACCATCAAACACGGGGATTGAAGCACTTCAAGATGAAGTTGCTCCAACCTACTACGGGTAAGTGATAGCCACAAAGGAAGGAAATGAATGACTTGATCTTTGTATTTACCTAATCTCCCCCCGTTGTATCTGGGGTGTTGGGAGCAATCATGTAAAGAAACAATTGGATATAACCTTCATTTTTCTAACCACCTAAAAAAAGGGAATATGATTTGATTGATCCGGATACTCCAAGATAAATCCTGAACCAGGTTCGCTCGGCCATTTTGGGGATGATCTCCATACACAAACCATAATGTATTGTATGGTGAGGTCCGCTACGTAGCGAGGTCGCTATAAACTATCCGGAACCTGCACGTTTCTACAGCATTGAAGCATCCAATTTGATGCGGTTTGGTTTGAAATCCGATAAAGAGGCATATCACAGCTTGACAATGACACTGTACTGCTTGAGTTTCTCCCTTGTACCATACGTAAAATTTGGCACCGCTCCAGGGAAAGGCCGAAGCACCATGCTTATACATGGTAAAACCATAAACCATGCTTATTTGTCGCCATGCTATTTGTTGTATACAAACCGAACAGTAGTTGTACCCCCAAAATTCTATCTAGAGTTCAGTTCTTTTCTGTAGTAAAGAGTTGTGACCTCGCTTTGCTGTGATGCAAGACTATGATCGTGGTACCTCTGAAAGTTGCTCTGTTAGTCACAATGTTTCACACATGCACAGCGTGATTTGGGTGATCATTGTGCACGGCTCAAAACCTTAAAAAGATCATCAAGTTGAATATATCTCCTCGTGAGCCATCCAATACTGGGAATGGGAGGTTTTCCAACTCATTTAGACATGTGTTTCTTTACAGCATCCAGGAACCGAATGTTGGATGCCAAGGGTGATGAACAGCAACATCTCACTCTTCCACCACCCACCTGACCTCAAAGGTCCTTCGGAACTCATTCAAGAATTCAAAGACCTCCGAAACACCAACAAAACAAGCGGTTGTTTGGAAAATGACCTTGTATATTGGCAAGCTGGGAATTAGGGAGAAATATCATCTATACCATTATGGAAAACGTTTCTATCTTTTTGTTGGATGCCGAGATGCTACAATTACAGGATATCAATGGATATTTTCCCATAACCAGGGGGACTGTCTGCCGCCATATTTGTTGAATGGAGGGTAGCATGAAGACATGCCAACAGTTTCCATGAACATCCATTCGTCAGCAAGAGCAACTTAAGGGCAACATCACAGTTATCAAAAACTGACACTGTAACAATTGCCGACAAACTGTGGGACCTGAGCAACAAGCAAATGGGTGTGGTGCAAAATTACTCGCGCCCTAAACTGGATAGTTTCAGATCCAAAAATACACGACATGTCCGATTTGTGTGCCCATGTGTATCCTAGTTTGGGTCATTAAATCCATATCATCAAGCAAAGCTGTCGTATGGGACACCCGACCAACTCAGTTGCTGTGGGTGCAGCGATGCACAAGAAGATCAGATCCTGCCCATCAGCAGGCCATCGGAATTCATAACACCATCCCAAGTTCCAAGTATACCTGAAAACCACTTCTCGATGCAATTTTTCCCCGTCTAGTTCACTTCATATCATGAGAAGACAGCCTACGGGCGGGATTACACCTTGGACATTTACCTTCACCTGGTTAGGCTACTACTGCAATACGCATCCCATCTATAAATTGCTACGAATCAACACCTCGCTATCAAGCGTCACACCAAAATAGCTCAGAGTTGTGGATGCAAACGCCCATGTATTCAAAAAACATCGGTTTTGATGGTTTTGGCCCATGTAAATGTTTTTGGACAACAAAGAAATTGCTTTGTGTTTCTTTCTGAAGTCGCATGCTATCATTTGCACAAAAGTCAGGCTTTGTAAAATATTTGAAAGGCTTTGTGAACTTGATGTTGTAAGTTGGAGTTGCAAACTCAACGGTGCCGGTGATCACGTGATGTCACGGAAAGGCCTTGTCCAACAAGTAGTTGAAGGTGTGGCCTCCATAGACGTAGGACCTCGTAGCTGAGACGGCTGGAAACGAGCCAAACTTCAAGGCACCTGGTACTGTGCAAAACATGTTTACTTATTGGTAGATTCTGTGTTTCACCCGGAGAAAAATCATAGATTTGAAACCATGAATCTGTTCAAAAGCTGAGTTGCGCATGCAGAATGGCTTCTATTCGCCAAGCATCCAGGTTCCGATATTTCAACCAAACTTGGAAGAAACCAGGTTGACACTTGTTTCAGGAACTTGTGAATAAAGCCAAAATTGGGGCCCCAAAGCCCAAACATACACTCAATCCTGAGTCTTGAACCCTCCTATTTTGCTGGCAACTTGCTTGTTTTGACCCACACCGCCCACACCCAGCCATCTTGAAGAAGAAACCCCCAAGCGGTCTACAGAGGTTTTTTTTTCTATGCGCCTGATTGCTCCCGTACGTGGGATCTTTGGCAAAACCTGGAGCTTGGACCCGTGGCAGACCATTTCAAACTGGACCGAATTGAAAAAATAGCTCACACCACAGCGAAATCGAAAGACACAAGCCTTTTGGCCATGCGTCATGGACATCATTCTGGATATTTGACTTCACACTTCTTGGCATTGAAACGCGTTGCTGGAGGAACTCTTGCTGGCACCTTGCGGGAAATTTCTGTCAAGTCATCTGCACCTGGCAATCTCAGCTCATGGCGAATGGGGCATATGATGCTGAAGAAAGTATCTGGTCCTTACAAATGTTCAAAGATTAGTATCTCGTATTTTTGGCTTCAGACGGTTCCGTTCGGTCGTGCTTCCCTGTCTTCTACCTGTTGAAGCGTCGTACTCGCAGAGTACAAATGTCCTCATGGTGCGGTGCAACCACGAAACAGGCAAGGCAACGGTCTAAAAATCATGCCCAGTGTTCCCTCGATTTGGAGTGCGTTTGTGGTTCTGAAAATTCCAAAATTCAAGCTCAAGTCCACAAAGCAATACATAGAAATACCAAATCTTTCGAAGTTCAATAAGGTCCAGTCCAATATCAATGATACCGGGGGTCAAACTTGCAATTTTGTCTCTTCCTTGTCCAAGAGGTCCGTGGAATGACTCTGACCAAGACATGGCGTGTGGAGTTGTTGTGACAGACAAGAATGTCATGCTGTAAAGTGAGAACCAGACCCGCGAGCAACAGATGCAGACAGGATCAGCATCCTTGCTGACCTGCAGCTGCTAAAGACATATGACCGAACATCCGATTCCAAGTCATGTGTAGCGAAACTGGCTATGCTAGCCACAGGTTCCTTCTACTTAGTGCATTTGAAAGTTCCTGTTTGTCAGCATCAACAATTTGGCCGATTTAAACTCAACACCAGACTGGTGATCAAGTCAGATTTCAATGAAAACTCTTGAAATTTTGAAACAAGACTTTGAGGAGGTCTTGGTTCTAACAGCCCAACCCCTTTTTTAGCCTCCTGAATCCTTGCAAGCATCCGGGCTGAGCAAAGAGTGGAGGTTGTGATGCGCTGTTGGACTACACAGTTTGCTGAGCCTCTGTGGGCAACTCATGGACTGTGCATAATTCAAAACAAAACCCATCACATATGTGGATTCAGCTGCTTCTGGACACCTCGATGTGATCGTAGCATGATTTGGTGCAAAAGAGTTTTCATGCAAATCTACATGCATAAATCTAGTCTCCAAGTTCTCACGGCCATGACTTGCCGCGCAGGCTTTTTTGCCAATGTCACATCACCTCCTGTGTGAACTATGTCCCGACATTGCCAGTTGCACAACAGATTTGTGAACCCAAATGGCTTTCCAATGGTTTGAATGTTGCATGCAGCTACCACACTCAATGTACATGCAACACAAAGGCTGGGAATGGGTCAGAATTGAATCCAGGCCATTTTTGCGCAACACATTTCATGCTTCCCCATTCACATATGCTGTCCTCGGACGCACGAAAACCTCACATTTTCAACGCCGTTTTTGGTGTGTCTGCGCGAGGCACGTGCAAATACCTGATTGCACGTGAGCGTGGCATCTTGAACCTCTTGTGATGTCCCAACTTCGTCATTTTCAATGGTTCCAAAACATGTTCAGTGAAAAATCAATTCGGATAGGCCTGAACTCACCATCCCATGGTCCTCGCCAGTATTGAGCAGTTCAATATCGAACAGTCGGGATACCAGAAATCATCCATCATAAAGGCCCAAAGCTTCGCCCATGTTTCTAGCTGGTTCTCGCTTGGGTTCCCGACTTTGGCCACTTCACAGTTTGGAGGAAGGGGCAGCCTGAGAAATGACATGGCAACAGGATGAATCCGAGTAACGGGAAACATGTCATTGTAACATATTGTAACGCCAAACATTGGAATACAAGTAGTACCCGGGCAAAGCGAGGGCGAAAGGTTCAAAAATATAAAACCGACAGGGCCAAAAGCAGAATTCACCTATAGGATGTCAAACAACCAACAATGTGTTGCAGAAACAATCTCTTGACGTCTTAGTCATCTGACATCCCTTTCTCTTCTCATGTCTTTCTCTTGACAGCCCTTGCTTTTGGTTTCTTTTTTGTTGAGATGTCCTTCTCATCCCTCCTTAGCTTTTCTCAACTTATCTCAGCTCTTCTCAACTCTTCTCTTCTCTGGACCAAAACCTGCTCCAAAATTGGATCTCGGCGCCAGAACCAAAGTTTTTGTAGGAAGGAATTTCAAACAGCGCCAGAAAGGAGAAGAATCATCACAAGACTCATGATCAGCAACCCTGGCGGAGCCACCCCAATAAGACTTGCAAGCAGCGAATTGCCAAAAAAAGAATTGCGCGGGCAATGGCGATGCAGAGAAACATTGATGCAGCCACTCCAATAAGAATTGCAAGAAGCGAATTGCAAAGGCCAAAGAAGTACGCTGGCAAGGAAGCACAACGAAACCCGGCCGGGAAACGCCTCAGACTCAGTTTCAATGCGGCGGGGCCGATTCGACCATGAACCGGGCACAGCCGGAACGGTTTCAGAACCGTCTCGCAGCAGGCCTTCCCCATCCACTTGCCGAGGCACGTTGCGTCGTAAAAAGGTTGATTTTGCGCGCCCGCTATCTCTCAAAAATGTATTTAGTGCGAGACCTTCAACAAGTGCAAGTCTTGAGTTGTTTGAACAAATTCAAACCTTTCGTGCGAGACGTTGCGAGGCTTCCTTCAAAAACTGCAAGTTGAAACTGTGAAAACGAAACTG